GCTGTTGTTCAGCATCTTAGCTGTAGAGGGCAGTGTCACTGGCCCTCATATGTGGGATCTGAACCGGGGCCCTCTGGCATCCCAATCCAGCTCTTAACTAACGCACCACTCCGCCGGCCCTGGTCAGCGTTTTCATATTTTAAAGGAGCCAAGTAAAGAACCTGTTGTATTTGGTAATAGATTATTAAGGACATTCGTGAAAACAGTGAAATGTAGGGGTAGAAACCAGAGTGCAAAGGAGCTGAAGTGAATCTGGTTACTTTTTCAAGAAGTTTAACTGGGAAGGATAGAAGAAAGTGATGTTTATTTGAAGTTTCTGGCTAGCTAATAATGAGAAAAGATGTCCCCAGGGTAAGCCTACGAAAGTTATAACTATACCTCTGGTGAAGCATCCTGTATTACTAACACACCAGCTCACTTGTATGTGGTCAGCATTAATAAAACCAGCTCATTTTGATGCTTGGGAAGTGATTCTTATTTCTATCCTACAGCCTGATGATCCCCTGGACACCCCATTATGGTTCAGTCATGGTTCCAAGCAGTTAAGAATCTGATGAAATTAACAAAACTGACCTCCAGAAGAACTGAGTTGTGCAAAAACTTAGAGGGTTCGTGGTCATCTACCAGCAGTTTTCCCTTAAAAGAAAAATTACAGTTTACCCTATTTAGAATTTGTTGGGCTTAGCTGTCAGGCCAATGATGATTTTAGATTTGGTGACATACCGCGCACACGGGCATTTGAGAGGAATCATGGAAACGTGCTTGTGTGGTCCATGTGCCCTGTACTCGCTGTTCCATGGGGCTTATCTGCTAGGTGGTAGTGACTCCCATGTGAGAAAATTTAGTCTTTTTTGGAGTGTGGAAATAGGCTAGCTCTCTGAGTAAGTGAAATAAAAAGCAGACTAATTTTCTTAATGGAAGTTTTCTTTTGCTAACTGCTCTGCTAAAATGTTGACTACTTTAAAGTTATTTGTACTTCAGTCTCTTAATTCTGAGTTCCAATTGTACTTCAGTCTCTTAATTCTGAGTTCCAATTGACCGCAGTCTCTTTACTTGCCAGATGAGTCTCAAACAATGGATGTTCGAGAAATCTCTAAGAGGTTTCACTTTCTATTCCTAGATCTGAGTTCACTCCCCAGTGAATTAGATCACTGAAAAAAAATCTGCAGACTTTTAGCTTCCTAGTCTTATGATATTGGCCTTTTTAGGTATAAGAAATTCTTCTTTGAATGCAATAACTTTACATTCTACAATAACTTCTGATATTCACCGTGTTACTTGGTAGCCAGCCCCTGGTTTGCAGCAGCCTTTTGTAAAGTGGGCAGATTTAACAATCAGAATCAGTGTCAGAAAGGGCAACTCTCCAGCTGAACTAACTTTGTTAGATGAGAACTGTGTGCCTCATCACGTTTGCTTTCGCCCTGCTTTTCAGAAAACTCCTAATTTAGGACTTAGTGAAATTAAATTTTTTCTAAATAAGTTTGGATTGCTCTCTCTTTTGTAATCTTTTTAAATGTCCTTTTCTGTATGTCGTAATTTAATGTTGGAAGCTGCCCTAAATTCTTTGGGAGCATGAAGAAAGTACACAATATTTAATTTTTAAAAATCAATTCATGAGACAAATACATGTATTTGATTCTACTTATGCATTTACATATAGTTCTTTAATCATGGGTATAAGAAGAAAATAAGGAATTTTTTCAAGAAATCTGTTTATTTTAAAGAACTGGCATGATGCCACAAAAGCTTCAGCGGTAAAGTATAATTTCTGTCAAGATGTTATTAGCAGAGATTATGCACTCTGACTTTTAGGGTGATCCACATGCAGAAACCTTGCTGCCAAGTTTCTGTACCCAAATATTCAGTGATTTGGGTCATGTTTCCTCACTTTTTGTCCCTTTTCCTTCCCCAAAAGGAAACATTTTAGACATTTCTTCCTATGAACTTCCTATGAATTTTAATACTAGTAACCTAGTGCATACTTCTCTATGTACTGTGTGTATATCTGTGCTTTACACATAAAAAGAGTAGGACTTTTTCATGTCTCACTAGCCAGCTTCATCTCTTTGAGGAAGACGCCGCCCCTGATGAGAACGCACGGGTTAGGGCTCCAGTTTACCAAGTGAACTTTGGGTCTACAGTTGAGTTTGTCACTTTTTTCCCCCATTAGGCTGTTTTACATAGTTAAGGTCCGGTTTCTCAGGATGAGAAAAGGTTTGTTGGATCATTTCCTGGCCCAATTCCCAATAAATCCTTCGTTTCACATGAGAGAACACTTGCTTGGATTCCTTTTGGGTGTGGTTTTCTTCCTCCTCGTTTCAGACTGGCTAATAGCTCTTTAGATAATACCAGCTTTGGGTTTGTGTGATGTTTTTCTCATGAATAGACTGGGGAGTACCGCTTTTGAGAGGCTGACTGCAGAGAGGAAGGAAGTTGCTGCTCATCACACTATGTCAAGATTATCAGCATGACTTACCATGGGTCATGTAAACCTTGATCACCTGGTTAAGGTTGTGTTTGCCAGGTGTTGCCTGTAAAATTACTGTTTTCCCTGTCCATGCTCTCTTCTTTGGAGGGGATTCACCAGGTCTGGTCGACACTCAAGATGGGGTGGGATTAAGTGCTGCCTCCTGGGATAGGGAGTATTGATACACATTGGTCGTTGGGAAAGTCATGACGTATTTTTCTATGATTTTCAATGCAAAAATGCATCATGACTTTCCCGACGACCCAGTATTATTTGGAATTCTTCTATAAGGAAGATTTGTCCCTTCCACATTGGCTTGTTTATTCATTCAGTCATTTATTTATACCAGCATGGATTCATGTATATTTACTTTATACCGTGGGTTATAATCTAGTATTACATTTATTTTATTCACAGTGTTCAAGTTTTGGCCATTGAGAACTCTTTCAGGTTGGCTCCTGTGTCCCGTTGACACCCCCGCCCCTTTTGTATTTCAAGTACTTTATGGCTCTGTAAGATGCTCCAGGCTCACCTTGTATTTTTCCTGCCCCAACCCCTCCCCCCCTTCCTCCCTCCCTCCCTCTGTCACTTACTTGTTTAATGCAAACATTTGCTTTTTGTTTAGCCACAATTGTACTGCTTACTGACAATGAGCACCCTGTTTTGCTTTTATATGCATTTAGTTAGGAATAAAAATATAGCATCTTAGGGCCAGCTGAGTGGCTCAGTTGGTTAAGAGCTCGCTTAAGAGTTTGAGCTCTGAGCAACAGCGGTTGAGTCCAGCCCTAGCTGAGCTGCCACTGAGCTGCCAACAGGTGGCAGGATGGCTCAGCTAAAAAAAAGGGGGGGGGAATATATATATATATATAGCATCTTTGCTTACTTTCATTACACCTTATTAGAGTTGGAGATGCCTTGGATTTTGGCTTCATCTTGTCTGTTATCCTCTCAGTGCCATGCCATCTGCAGTTCTGATAAACCTGCCTCGTGTATTCTCATTCACATCTTTGACACATTTGGTTCTTGGGATTTCCTGGTACCATCTTGCTACTTTGCCCTCTTTGAGACTGCTAGGATTTGGAAAATTATTGAATCTCAACCTTTTCACTTGAATTTGCATGGTGGAGGCTCTGATGTTTTTAGAAAACAAAAAGTTGGAGATAGTAAAAAACTGGATCAGACTTAGTAGCAATAGGTTAACATTTGTTGCTGTTACAGTGTATCGCTGAGCAGTGAGCTGTGGGCAGCAATTCACTCTGGCAAATTCCTGTATGCGTACTTCTAACAAGGGGAAATCCTTCTCTGAGTTTTTATTACTTGCATGGATTAATAGTTATGAGTGACTGTATTTCCAGGGATTTCAGGAACATGGCCTCTGGGAATGGAAAAGGTTTCCTGAGCTCTTGACTCGCCTTTGGTTTATCACTAGAACACCCCAAAATCTGTCCTTTGGAAACACTGATAGTTCTTCTGTCTCTGTACTTTCCATCAGCATTACATAGCACAGTGCATATTGCCTTATGGTGTTTATAACTAGCAAAATGCTGTCATTTCATTATACTCTTTACGTGTTCAAGTTTAAGAGTGGGCTCATTTGAGTTAGGCAGCGATTGACAAGCTGGCCAGCAGATGGTTCTGGATGTGGTGGAGGCACATTTTAAATTGAGGCTCGTTAGTAGGAAGTGGACCCATTCATTGTTCACACAGAACAGGCCTGAAGTATTGTTTTGTTTTTTTTCTTTAGTATTTGTCGTGTTTTCGGATACAGGTACAGAATGAGCACATGTTGTTGGTGTACGCCAGGTGGTATTTCCACCATTGACTTCCTAAGGCTCTATGCATCCAGGACCCAGCCCAGTGAATTTCAAACAGCTGATGAAGACCTCTGCTACTGCTTGGAGTGTGTGGTTCAGTACCACAAAGCAAGGGAGGAGGTGCCGCTCTTGCATGAGGTAATTTACATTGGACGGGTAATATTTTTCAGAGCTTGGTAACGAGGAAGAGAATACATTTGAACTCTGTTGGAAGCATTCCAGGAACGGATAACTGAAACTTTGAATATACTTTTAGTACTTAATTCGTTGCCTGGTATATAGTAGGTGCTGTCAGTGTTCATTGACTGATGGAATTGTGTTGAAACCTAAAGCAGAATTTTATGACCTCTGACTTTTAGTCATTTTGATACCAAACAATCTTAGGAAATGAAGTGATGGGTGGGGTTTCTTTTTTTGGTTCATGTTTTTATGTCAGTATATTTGACAGTGTTACACAGTCCTGTGTCTGAATGGCTTGGGTTCTTTTTATTGCTTGATAGCTTTTTTTCTCTTTTCATTTTTTAATGGGTAAATGGTAAACCTCTTAAGGGCAAATATATTTTTCAGTCATAGTAGCCAAGGTGAAACATGTCATTTTACATATGTGGCTTTGAATATTTGGTTTATTATATTTACCTGATGAAAAGCAGAACACAGACCATAGAGATGTGTACAATCTAGAAAGGAGGAGGGGATGATGAGTTACAAACCTGTTGAGAAAAAGTTTGCCATTCACAAAGTTTCCTATTTATGAAGCTAACCAGTGTTTATGCTGAAGCTGACGTGTTAAGGGTAGGTACCTATGACTGGGACATAGAAGAGGGGACATAGAAAGCCTAGCTTGTGCCTTTGATAAAGACTCTGCCGCTTCTCATTTCCTTCTAAACAGAGTATAGCTGGGAGGGATATTGATATTTATAGCAAAACCCCGCAAGCACAGTGTTTAAGCATCTCATGTTCTGTGTACTCATCGTGTTCATATATCATGAAAGTGGCCATGCTTAGTAACTCTTTTCTTCACATAAACCTAATATGTAGTGTCTAGTACTTTTTAAAATTTCTGAATTTTTATACTTAGGAAAAGGATAATAAGATAAAAAGCACACTGCCCATTTTTCTTTTCCTGTAGGTTTTATGGGAATTAGAAACCTCACGTCTCATAAATCACTTTGAAAAATCCATGAGGGCAGAAATTGAAGATGACGACGAATTATACATCGTAGACATCAATGGAGAGATGCAGCTGTTTGACTTTACCGGCCCAGACTTTGAAAATAAACTTCGAGTTCCTCTGTTTGAAATACTGAAATATCCTTATCTGCTTTTACATGAGCGTGTTAGTGAGTATCTTGGGTGTTCTGCAAGTTATATCAGTTTTATTATTTCAAGAATTGTAAGAATTTAGGTTTATCTATATTGAAAATCTGTTTGTTAAACATATAATTAGGATACGTAATAATATTTTTCCCAACATTTTGTTATCAAAGTCTCCAAACATAAGGAGAAGTCCATTATGTAGTGAACACCACATACCCACTGCATAGATTCTACAGTTGCTGACATCTTGCTGTATTTGCTTTATCACATATTGATTCATCTATCCATTCAGTTAATTTTCATTCTTGTCATTTGTCTGTAGCAGTTGCTCACCTTGAGCACTGTTGACATTTTAGACTGGTTCTTTGTTGTATGGGCCGTGCTGTCCATTGTAGGAGGTTTACCAGCATCCCTGACCTCCATCCACTAGATGCCCTAGCACCCCGCTCTCCCCCCACCCCAGCTGTAAAAACGAAACATGTCTGCATGGTGTCCCTTGGGAGTTGGGGGCAGCGCTGGGGAGAGGCACACTCCACCCCTGGCTGAGAATTGCTGGGCGACAGTAATTTCATTAACCACTATGGCATGGCCTTAGGGCTGCCTAGATATTGGTCATGTATATTTGCGTTTCTCAGTAGTAATCTCTTTAAAAGTAAAGACATTTTCCTGATCTATCAAATCTAACAAAATAACAATACCTTTAAGGCATCGACTATCTAGCACATATTAACATTTTCCCAGTAGTTGCAAAATATGGTTTTTGGCTGGTTTGTTTAAATTAGAGTTCAGTCAGGGATCATGCATTGCATTTGGTTCATATTTCGTACAGCTCTTTTAATCCAGAACAGTTTATTCATAACGCGAACACACACCTTTTTGTTATTGGGTTTTGTTTTGTTTTTCCCTTGACTGACTGATTGCGACCATATGGCTGCCCTGTAGAATAATGCCCTTTTCTGGATTTTTCTAATTGCTTTCTTGTAATGTTATTTAACTTGTGTCACTATCCTCTGTGTTTTCAGTAAACTGTAAAGTTGATCTAAAGATTTGATTAAATCTCTAAACAAATTTTTAAAAATTAGATTTAAAAATTTTAACAAGTCATTTTTCAAATGTTTACTCAAGAATACTATATCCAGAAAAGTACATAAGCTTGATGCTTTTTCTCAAACTAAACACACTTTTGTAACCACCACCAGATAATGAAAGAATATCAATACCTTAGGAGCCCCCCTCATGTTTTTCTATCATTCTCCCTCCTCCCCAAAGCCAACCACGATTACTAACAATATTCTTTGAAGCTTGACAAACTAAAATTGATTCAGCTCATAGGGTAAATGTCTGAGTCTATTTAGGACACTTTTGAAAGAGTAATGAAGAAATTTCCATAAAGCAACAGGAGTTAGAACAGTGCTGGCATAGTCTAGTGCAGAGGTCGGCAAACTTTTGAGATGGAAGAGCCGCCAGGGGTCAGCAAACTGCGGCTCACAAGCCACATGCAGCTCTTTGGGTACATGCATGTGGCTCTGAAGTAAAATTGAAAATGAAAATAAAACTATCATAGTTTCATTTATAAAATTTTTAAAGGACATTATTCACAGAATGGTGATTAGGTAAAAATGTATTTATGGCTCTCAAATAGTTTTAAATTGTGAGGGACAGGATTGACTCTTTCAGGGGTCGTTTGAGATGGAACGTACCCAGAGAGCCACGTGTGGCTCACGAGCCGCAGTTTGCCGACCCCTGGTCTAGTGGAACAATGTAGGGAGTCCAGAAGCAAACCAGGTATATTGGGGCGATTTCATGTTTGATGATGGTGGCTTTTCAAACCATTGGGGGAAGTGGATCATTCAGTAAATGAGAGCAAGACAAAATAGCCATTGTCGGGGGGGCTGGGAGGGAGCGGGAGGGAAACTGACTTTCTTCATTACCCCGCTACCAAATAAAGTCCACGTGAATCAAAATGTACAGTGCTAATGGAATTGGACCTGTGACCATACTTGTAAGAAGATACCCTGTGGAGATAATTATGCCAAGAGTAAAACAGAAAAGATGTATATACTAGTAAAGTTAGAATAATTCCTAGGAACCACACTATGGCCAAATAGTCTTTCAGATAGGTAAATACTGTTCCTACATTTACATTACCGGCATTTTTATGCCTCACTTTTAAGAAAAAAAACAAAACAGTTTTCATGTACTTACAAAACCACTGAAGGAGCCAGACTTAGGGGATCTCGGTGAATCGTGACATTCGCCTCATGTTTCCTGCCGTGTTTCTTCTGTGTAGACGAGCTGTGTGTGGAGGCCCTTTGTCGGATGGAACAGGCCAATTGCTCCTTCCAGGTGTTTGAGAAACATCCCGGGGTCTATTTATTTCTGGTCCATCCCAATGAAATGGTAAGTGTGGTAGTCAACGGAAGGATGTATTTTAGTTTTGCACGTACAGTTAGCTATCATGGAGGGTCTGGGTGTGTATTTTGTTTAAAATGTTTGTCAAAATTAATTCTTTTCTCTTTGTAAAATTACTACAGTTAAGCAGAGGGCGCTGGGGGGGTCAAAGAAGGAGGAGATCCAAGAGGGTAAAGGGAAGACTTCTGACAGGTGATGCTTCAGTTTAAAAGACAAACGAGGGAATAATTTGAGCTTCTCTCAGTATGTTGACCTGAAGCAATGAAGGGCAGTTCTCTTGTTTTCCTTGCCTGCCTACCCTGCTCCAAACATGTGGAAATACCAGTTAAAATATTGGAAAAAATTAGTTTGCTAATAGATGAGATTATTAAAAGCACGGAAGGCAGGGGAGGGAGAGGGAAAAAAATTGAGTTCCTAGGTGCCAGAAGTGAAGAGGGTCATAAGAATCGGAACAATAGGCAGGAGCAGAAGCAGAGAGCAGCACCGGAGGACTGAAACCTGACCTGAGCTTATTGCATAGGTTTCTCCTTTGAGGTTCCTCTTTTTTCTTTTTGAAATTTTCTATGATGAAAAATTACAAACATACAAAAGTAGAATGGTATAATGAACCCCCATATATTCATCCCTAAGCTTTATCAATTATCAATAATACATGGTCAATATTCTGCCCCCCTTTTGGATTAGTTAGAGCAAATCTGAGACACCAGAGCATTTCATCTATAAAATATGTGTCTCTAGAAGATAAGGGCTTGCTTGCTCAATTTATTTATTGAATTATTTATTTACTTATTTTTGCAGTCTTGACATGACTACTGCTTTATATATCCTTAGTTACAGGAGTTCTGTTCAGCTAGTCTTCAGATAGTTCTCAAGGGTGGCTCTGTAATTTAGTTGTAATTTTGATGTGTTCATGGGAGGGGGGCGAGCACAACATTTACCTACTCTGCCATCTTGACTACAAGTCGATAAGGACTTTTTAAAAAACAAAACAGCACTATCACCACACCTAAAATAATAATCTTTTTTTTTTTTTTTTTTTTTTTTGTTTTTTTTTGGGCAGTGTCACTGGCCCTCATATGTGGGATCCGAACCGGGGCCCTCTGGCGTCCCAAGCCAGCTCTTAACCATCGCACCACTCAGCCGGCCCTAAAAATAATAATTTTTTAATGGCATGTTTCTAGTGAGTGTTTAGATGAATGAAAATGATTGTCTCATAAATGCCTTGTTAGGGTTAGCTAATTCAAATCAGTATCAAATAAGGTTCACATATTGCATTAATTAGTGTTGTGTATCTTAAAATCTATAGGGAATCCTATTTTCTTAACTAGGTTTTTGCTGTATGTAGACAGTTGTTTGTTGAATGAAGTAATGAATGTGTTATCCTTTTAGGTTCGGCGTTGGGCTATCCTGACTGCAAAAGGGTTGGGAAAAGTGGACAGAGATGATTATTATGACTTACAGGAGGTTTTGACTTGCCTTTTTAAAGTCATTGAGTTGGGACTTTTAGAAAGTCCAGACATTTATACTTCTTCTGTCCTTGAGAAAGGTAAACTGATTCTTCTGCCATCACACATGTACGATACTACGAACTACAAAAACTATTGGTTAGGTGAGTATTGTCCCTACACAAATATTATTAGTATTTTCCTGTAGTTCTTATGAGTATCCTGCCAAAGAAGTGATCTCTTCATAATTTTTTTCAAAATTGCTAAATATAAGATTTCATAGTTTCCAGTTCTTCTGTCATTAAATTGATGTAACCATTACACATCTTATTTTGAAACATTATTTATCCTAGAAACCATCTGTGTAAGAGGTACATTTTCAAGTATGGCAAGTAGATCTTTTATTTAAAGCAGTATTAGATGTAACAATATTAATAGAACAGTTGCTTTTAATAGGGTTTGATCTGTTTAAAAAAAAGGTTTGATCCCTCTTTTCCCACCTATAAAGTATTTCCTGATAGAGATATTAGCTTTGGTTTTCAGCAAGTTCTACACTGACTCAAAAATAGGTCCACCCTGCTTCATTGATTCTGAGTCTTACAGTCATGTGTCATTTGGCAGTGATTGGGACTTGAGATATGGTGGTTTTAAAATTGAAGCCATCTGAGATTTGATGAAGTATAAATTGTGTGGTAGTCATCTTAGAAATTGTTTTCTAACCAAATTTATATCATGTTCCCTTTTTATTCTCAAATCAGTCTGAAGTCCTGTTACTTAGGAGAATCTGTATATGCAAACATCAGAGTTAACTGTTTAAGGAACTGGAGACAGTTTTGCTTCATCTTTCTGCCTTGTTATTCTTTTGTAAACTCAACCAGAGGAGGTGTTAGAATGGTGTGACTTAATCAATTCAAGAAAACTGTGAATGATCTTACAGGTATTTGCATGTTGCTTACCATTCTTGAAGAGCAAGCCATGGATTCACTGTTGTTGGGCTCAAACAAAGAGAATGATTTTATGCAGTCCATCCTTCACACCATGGAGAAGCAGTCAGATGGTAATGAGCTTTATTTGCTGAATGCTTTTAAATACTGTCATGATGATGATGCACTTTTTTTTTTTTAAGGTTTTTATTGGGGAATTGGGGGGATGGGAACAGCGCTGGGGAATCGGGGGAAGGGAAACAGACAAGTTGCTGTCGTTTTGTTCTTTAGTTGTGGAGGACGTTGCTTCACTGGCCCAAGTTGGCACCATCATTGCGCTCTTCCCGGGCAAGGCAGATCGGTCACTGGCTTCTGGACAGCCGCTCATGGTGGCTTGAGGGCCGCTCATGCTGGCTGCTGGCTACTGGCTACACACAGTAGCCCATGGCAACCCACTGCAGCAGGGGCTGCAGCCTACGCCGTCGCCAGTGACTCACAGCAGCCCAGCTCCAGGTTGAGCTGTTGTTCAGCATCTTAGCTGTAGAGGGCAGTGTCACTGGCCCTCAAATGTGGGATCCGAACCGGGGCCCTCTGGCGTCCCAAGCCAGCTCTTAACCATTGTGCCACTCGGCCCGCCCAGATGATGCACTTTTAAAATACTGGTGTCACTGCAAGAATTGGGTATATGGTGTGGAGAAAAGAAGAACATTTTACAGTTGAGGTCATGGGTTCAGAATTCTAAATCGGAAAGGACCTTTAGAATTTTAATTCAGCGCCTTACTTTCATAAAAGAGGGACTGAAGCCCTGAAAGTCAACCTATTTTTTCATGTTGAAACATCTATAGTTTGTGGTAGTCAAAACTAAAACCTATAAATTTCTGATGACATCATAGTGAAAATTATGGAGAAAGCCTTCCCTGTCTGTTGAGACCCGCTCGACAACCGGAGTTGCCTGGCTTGTCAGCCAGGTACCTGTTCTGAGTGGACTGGGTGGGAGATGAAAACAAACACAGAGAGACAAAGGCTCAGATCGGGAGGTCCACTGTCCGCTGTTGGCGGACGCAGTGGCGCAGTTTATTTTTTACACCGAGCTTATATAGAGGGAGCAATTCCCTTTTAGTCAAGGAGGATACGGGGAAACAATTTCCCTTATAAAGTTCAACAGTTTGCAGGATCACATCCTGTTATGCAGTCTGCGGTTTTAGTTGCCTTCAGCCTGTTGCTTCAGCTGCTCTTGTTCTCCAATGATACAGTGGGAGTGAAACATTCCCCGAGCTGCCCACCCAGGCATGAAGGCTTGCAGCCTGCCAGCTTGCAGCCTCGTGGTCCCTGACTGCTCACAGTTTGCTCCCCACACCTGTCCTGTCGTCCTTTTTCCTGGTTTTTCATTTCTTCCTGGTTTCACTGTCCAATCTGGTGACTGCTAGCCAAATATGGCTATTAGTTGAGATTAATTAAATCAAACAGTTACGTTTTTTAGTTTTACTAGTTCCACTTCATGTGCTCAGTCACCACCTGTACCTGGTAGCTTCCAGCGTGGACAGTGCAGATAGGGCACATCCCATCAGCATGGAGAGTTCCCTTGGATGGCGCTGCTCAGCTAGGCTAGAAGATAGGGTTTAAAGCTGGTAGTCAGGTTCATCATTAGGTCTTAACTTTCTTTTGGTCATGGTTGTCTCAAGCTGATCAGGGAGGACTTGTGCTTAGATAAGTGTTTCTAATCTTTTTTATGAAGTAATGAATTAATAAACAAGCATGTCAGATCCCATGAAAACATAATGAATATAATTTTTCCCACTTTGACTTCTCTTTAGGCAATTTAATTGTGGATATAAACTCTTCTGTGGGAGATCCTAAAAGAAGTAAATGTTACTCTCATTGATTGCATATACTTTCTTGCTAGATTATTCCTGATTAAGGTTATTACTAATTTGTTTACCAGCATTTACTACATAAATTGTTCATTTCTTTCTGTACACCTTGCACAAAAAATTGTGTCCCCTCTGTTAATCCGGCTCCCATAACCTTCAGAATGTGAGTCACCTCTTTAAGAAACCTTTCTTAATTGTCTTCACCTAACTGATGACATTTTTCCTTAATTTGAGAGCTTACATAATATGGTGGTATGTCAGCTGCAGTAGAGGCTAAGAAAGTATATGAGAAGGTTTCCATCAATGTGACTGTGTGATAAAAAAGTAGAGTTTAAGAGCCCTGAGGAAAATGAAGTGGAAAGTTCTAGGGTGACTAAATAGCATTCTAGTAACAGATAGAGCACTTACCTCAGAGGAGTACCGGAGAAGATTATATGGCTGAGAACGTTTGATATAGGAGGAAGCTTCTGAGGTAGACTTGAAGGATGAATAGGATTTTGATCGCTGTTACTAATAGTGAAGGCATTCTGGTTCTTATTTGGGAAGAAGCCAGCTATCTGTTTTTGCTGTGGATTGGGAATGATTATGAAAGCGTGACAGCTAAAGCTGGAAAGAATAGAGGAAGCTCTTACAAGTGCTTGACTGAGTGAGGACTTTGAATTTTCTTGGAAGACATCAAAGAACAATTGAAGGCCTCTTGAGTAGGGCAGTATCTTGCCACTGCACATCTGATAGAGAAGAGGGAAGGGACTGGAGGTTAGAGCTTGTGGGTAATGGGAATTCCTGAAAATAGATACCAACAACGCCATGTTGAGATGGATGGATGAAGACTGTATATATATATTTTTTTAAGATTTTATTGGGGATTTAGGGGAGGGGAGCAGCGCTGGGGAATCGGGGGAAGGGGAACAGACAAGTTGCTGTCCTTTTGTTCTTCAGTCTAGTTGTGGAGGACATAACTTCACTGGCCCATGTTGGTATTATCATTGCACTCTTCCTGGGTGAGGCAGATTGGTCGCCTACCTCTGGACAGCTGCTCACGGCGGCTCTTGGCAGCTCACACCGGCTACTGGACGTTCACACTGGCTGCCGGCCACACACGGTAGCTTATGGCCGCCCACTGCAGCAGGGGCTGCAGCCTACGCCGTCACTGGCGACTTATGACAACCCAGCTTTAGGTCCAGCTGTTTTTCACCATCTTAGCTGTAGAGCCAGCTCTTAACCAACACGCCACTCGGCCGGCCCCAGGGCTGTGTATTTCTGCTTACCCATTAGCCGGGGGATTCAGACCTTTACACCAGCCAGATGGCACACACAGCTCAAGGTCACGGCAAACCAGACTTCCTGGTAATGTGAGCTTTACTAAGGTTTTCTTTCTTTTTCCCTTATTTCCTCTACTTCTCTTTTGTTATTTATTGAAGGAAGGGAGTAAAAAGTTGTGGGAGAAGATGAGCTGATAGGAAAGATTATCTCAGGTGTGGCAAATGGTGAGCACATTGAGTTTCCCTAGACTACCTCAGTTTGCTCCCCATTTAAAAATTTCTTACAGAGGCATATAGTATGCTTGGAAAAAATGTAAAACCGTTTAAAAATTTGCCAATTTTTTAAAACTTGTGGTTGGCAATGCTTTGTGTTAAAGTACTTGCTGCTCTGCTTTGTTTGTTGCTAGCCAGATAAAAAATGCTTCATTCTCAATATATTTTAGTAGCTTTTCTAATTGTTTTGTAATTTGGCAATGACTTCATTGTATTTCAGATGATAGTGGGGATCCTTTCTGGCCAGCATTACACTGTTTCATGGTGATTCTGGATCGCCTTGGATCTAAGGTCTGGGGTCAACTTATTGATCCTATTGAGGCATTTCAAACCATTATCAACAACGTGAGCTACAATAGAGAGATCCAGAATATACGGAAGAGCTCTGTAAGGTTAGTTCCGTTCGCGGGTAAGGATTTTAAAATTCTCTGTAAGGAAGTCTGTTTGTTGTAACTTACTGAAATAGGGTTTTCTCGTTTTTTTCTTCATTTCCGTAATTTCTATTTATTCTTAATATTTAAGGGCCAAGGCAGAACCGGAGTCCTATCTGGATGATATGGTGTCTTGCAGCCAGATTGTATACAATTATAATCCTGAAAAGACCAAAAAGGTATAAAATGTTTTGAGAATTCAGATGACATTGTATTCCTTTGTATTTTAAAACAGTGTTTTACATAATGAGTTGAATTGCTGATTTTGTGATAGGAGCTGTTCTGCATCAACTTTGCATAAAGGCTGTCTGATTGAACAGATGGATTGTGCACTGGGGACAATGGACTTGAACTACCTGTGCCCACTTTGGAAAATTCATCTTTAGGTGCAGTTAGGAAGAGTGGAAAGTTTATGGGATGGGGGAGATAAGTGACATGACTAGAAATCGAAACCAAGGTCAGAGTACATGGAGCTGCTGTAAATTTACCTTTTCATAAAACCTTAACCTCAGAATTTCACTATTTTTGAGTTTCTTGGGTATGTATGTGTACGTGTAAACTAAAATAGGAAGATTGAGTCATAGATTTGCTTGTTTACAACTTGTTTGCTAAACCTGTCACGAATGGTGCTTGTTTATCTGAATGTCAGTGTTTCTTTCCTTTCAGGATTCAGGATGGAGATCTGCCATTTGCCCAGACTATTGTCCTAACATGTATGAAGAAATGGAAACATTAGCCAGTGTGCTTCAGTCAGATATTGGTCAAGACATGCGTGTTCATAACAGCACGTTTCTGTGGTTCATCCCTTTCGTGCAGTCCCTCATGGACCTTAAGGATTTGGGTGTGGCTTACATAGTAGAGGTCATCCATCATCTGCATTCCGAGGTCAAAGACGTTCTCAACCAGACAGTGGTCGTGTGTGACAAAGTCACCGAATTCTTTTTTCTAATTTTAGTGTCAGTGATTGAACTCCACAGAAATAAAAAATGTTTGCATTTGCTGTGGGTTAGCTCCCAGAAGTGGGTGGAAGCTGTGGTTAAATGCGCCAAGCTTCCGACCAGCGCGTTTGCACGGAGCTCTGAGAAGTCGTCCAGCAGTGTCTCCAAAGGAACACCGATAGTGTCCTCTGTGTCGCACTCGATGCCATCGAACTCTGTACAGCTTGCCTGTGTGCAGCTGATTCGAAGTCTCCTTAAAGAAGGTTATCAACTGGGGCAGCAGACTCTGTGTAAGCGATTCTGGGATAAGCTCAACTTATTCCTGCGAGGAAATTTATCTCTAGGTTGGCAGCTGACTAGTCAGGAAACCCAAGAGTTACAAACTTGTTTAAAGCAAATTATTAGAAACATAAAATTAAAAGTTCCGCAGTATAACACTTTTGTGGACCTGACTCTGTGTAAACCTGCTCCTGCATGCTGTTATAAAGAAAATGGACAAATAGGGAAGAAGTGTAAAAACGAGTACTGCCTGGAAAGTTCTAACCCAGCATTTTCTAAGGAACCAATGAAAGCTGATGAATCTCAAGTGCAAGAGAGTGTGTTGAGCAAAGCAAGTAACACTGGAAAAGAAAATAATGAGCAAAATTCTATAAAAAATTTGAAGCTAGAGGACCATTACTCAGCTGGGTCATGCTTAAAGCAGAGTAGTAAAAACCTTTTCGCTGAAGGACCTGAAGATCAAGTTACAAGACATACAGGGAAGCAGAAGCCTGTAAACAACAATTCCTCATATACACCGCAGAACTGTACTTTAAGAAATGATCCAGAAAGGGGATTTGACAGAGGAAGAGGAGGAATAATGTCACCATGTTTGTTGACTGATTCTAGCACTGATTCTTTGGAAAAGGTGTCCACATCAAATGAGGATTTCTCTTTAAGGAATGATATTCTTGGCAAAACCTCAAAAGCAAAAACTAAGGCCCAGAAAGATGAAATCTGTGCTAAGTTATCACATGTAATAAAGAAGCAACACAGGAAAAGTACTTCGGTTGATGATACTATGACATCAGAGGGAAACCTAACTGGATCTAACATGGAGAACTTGTATTCCAGGAAAGCTACAGGCTGTCAGAAAGGGGATCGCTTCCTCCATAATCTCTCTTTAGACCAGAACAGTATTCTGGATAATAAAAATGGAGAACAAAAATCTCATAATAGTTTATTGCTGAAAAAGAAACAATTGAAGAATGAAGAGTTAGATGTTTTCTCTTCCCATGAAAATGTTTGTCAAATACAGGAATGTCATACTGATAAAGATTTGGTCTCATTTACAGAAATGACCAATACTTTCATGCATAAAACATCTTCCTTTAAAGACCCTGTGACTGTACTTGAATCAAGAGATAAGGAAATTAGTAAGAGTACTGACCGGGTTTCTTCTAAGCTGAGAGAGCAGGCTCCTAGCAATAGTCCCAAGTCGGATACCTTAACAGAGTCTCAGGTAGACAGAGACCTCCACAAATTATCTTTAGTAGCTCAAGCCAGTGTTAGTAAGTTTCCATCAAATTCAGCTCAAAAAAGCTCATCCCTGCTACAAAGAAAAGTAAAAGACAAAAGAAGTTTCACAGCCAACCGAAATAATGTGGGAGAAACCTGCCGTGGACAAATTATTATTATTTCAGATTCTGATGATGATGAAGAAGAAAGAATTTTTGATTTTGAGAAACACATTATTAAACAAGATAAAATGTGCATTGAGAAAGACTGTCCACAGCAGCATACTTCAATAGCTAATATGAATGTGGAAAGGAAACTAATAAAGAAAGAAAAGACAAATTCCCCTTTGCCGTTTGAGGAATGTGATTCTCAGGTTTTTGAGTTTGAAAGCCAACAGGATGTATTTTCAGTGTGGCAGGATCAGAAACCAGACAAGAAGACTTCAGTTCAAGGGGATAAAAAAAACTCATGTTTGACCGATATGGCTGATATCACAAATGATTGGGGCTATGATACAGATTATCCTATGTCAGAAGAAGTTACTGCAAAAGGAGCAGAGGACATTGAAGAACGTGCAGGGCCACAAAGCATTCGGATGTCTGTTGAGGGATTTTATGGAATTGAAGTAAAAAAGCCTAAGCGAAAAGAATTTGAAAAACCTAAGAATGAGGCTTTTCCTTTAAGGCCTTCATCTTCTGATAGAAATGAGGACCAGTCTGATAATGAGAGAGAGCTGACTGAAAATGATTTTCAAGGTATAGACTTAAGGACTACAACTCCTTGTTCAAGTATTCAGAGAACCACCACAGTTCCCCTAACGAAGTCTTCTCCAAAGGGTCACACTTACTCCAAAGCCATCAGGAAAGTTACAGTTTCTAAAACTTCTAAGAAAACACATTCAGATACCAAAAAAGGCCACAATAAAAGTTCAAATTACTTAAGTTGTAGGACAACTCCTGCTGTAGTGCCACCAAAGAAGTTTCGCCAGTGTCCTGAACCAACTTCCAGACCTGAAAAACTTGGTCTGAAAAAGGGCCCTCGTAAGGCATTTGAGTTGTCTCAGCGATCTTTAGAGTGTATAGTTCAATTACGTAACCATGGCAAAACTGTTGGAGTAGTTGATACCCGAAAAAAGACTAAACTAATTCCTCCTCAGACTTTTCCTGTCAAAAATAAACTGCTTAAGAGTCAAGATTTTCAGCTGCAGAGGCAGTTGAGACCCATATCACACCAAAATAGACAAGGACTTTCTGATGAGAGCAGGGTTACTACTGCAAGGCCTCGTGCAGCGCCGAGTGCTGACATGTTTGTGCCCGAGTCAGACAGGTCAGGTTATAGTAGTAAAGGAGGAACTGAGGTCATCACTAACAGAAATGGAAAACAGTTACCAAAACGCGTGTCTTTCGAACAGGAATCCATGAAAGCAAATTACGTGGCTCAGGTGACTGGCAGTCCTTGCCTTTTGAACAAGCGTAATTCTGTGGTGCTAAATGGAAGAACACCAACAAATGAAATAACTCGCTCTACTTCAGAAGACCCTTCAGGGGGAGGTGACGTAACCGTCCATTTAGAGATGGCAGCTTTGCAAAAGGGAGAGCCTGAGCCCTGCAGTGACATGGAGGAAGATAATATATTTTTAACACAGTGTGACCCTGAAGACATGGACTTGTGTTCACAAATGCAGAATGATAATGATAAACTCATCGAAGTAGTTCATGGACAAGAGACAGTTCAGGTAGAAGATTCTCTCATTCGGCCCCAGTTGGCGTCTTTGAGTGGCGCAAAATGTAAGTACAAAGATTGTGTTGAAACTATGAAAAGCCAGGGTGAGTACTGCCTGAAACACTCGGAAGTGAAAGTAGGCGATGAAGAGGTATTTCGTAAACCCGCCTTGCCTCTGTCTGCATCTAAACCGTTGAAACCTTCCACGACTAAGATTTTTAGCTCAAGTTCCACTTCACGGATTGCTAATTTTTCCAGGTCTTTGGAAAATGCCCCAGCACTTGTCCCAGCTATAAGAAATAAGGCCAATGGGGTCCAGTCCAATTTGAAAGTGCCACTGCCAGCCTGTGTGGTGTCTCAGAAGCCAGTGGCTGAAGTGAAGAGTCTGTGCAACATTCTTCACTATCCAACTCCGAACAACTCCAGCAGGCACGGTTACAAACTCCCGCTGGGTGAGAGCAAACCTTTCTCTGCTTCTCAGGTCAACATTCTCTTGTCGTCACAGTCCATCTCTGACACTTTCATTAAAGAGGTCTTAAAATGGAAATACGAAATGTTCGTGAACTTTGATCAATGTGGGCCCCCAGCAGTCCTTTGTCAGTCCGTCTCAAGACGCGTGCCTGTCCGATTTGAAGATTATGGAGATTATTTTGATGTGTTTTTCCCTTTGATGATATTGAATACTTTTGAAACCGTAAGTATGTGTTTTAATTCTATACCTTTCCAGACTTGGAAGTCGCTCCTTCTCTTTCCCCTGCTGAGTGTTAGAGTCCAGGGACCGTCGTGGACCTCACTGTGATTTAGATGTAGCTTGTAGATTTCACGTTGAACAAACATTTGTGCCAGACACTGTTCTAGAAGCTGGTGCTACAGGGGACACTTTTTTTTAAAATCTGCCCTCTGGAGCTTACAGACAATGAATGAGTGCTAATGGACCAAGTTCAAGGGTAGCCCAGGAGAAAGTGTTTTTCAGTGCTAAGGGAGGGGAAGACTTCTCAGAGAAGACAGTCTCCACGTGCGTTTTTTTTTTTTTCCTGAAAAGTAATGTAGACCTTTACTCAGGTTTTCTTGAGGAGGTGGCAAAGGGTAAATCACTTTGAACAGCACAAAGCAGTAAATCCTGAGTTTCTCCTGACATATCTGTCTTCCCCAATTCCTCCTCATCCTAGCAGCTGCTTTCTCCTTGTCGCTGCCTCCCCCACCCAGCACACCCTATCCTGGTTCTGTCATCCTTATTCTTCCTGATGAGGAGTGCCAGATAAAGGACAGGATTCCCAGTTAGGTCTGCCCCTCAGAAAAACAGCTGCTATTTCCTTAGTGTAAGCACCTAACAGCATTTTGAAGGGTGTTTTGGTGTTCTCAAAACAGGTAAGAGGTTTTTACTTTTCCAAATTTCTTAGAAAAGCCCCAAACCCAAGTATGTGGTAAGCCTTAAAAACAAAACCAAGAACATTGAGGTAAATTGTCATATGTTCACTCACTTGACAGGTGTTTGGGTGCCTGGTACCTGCCACGTGCTGTTACAGGCCTGGGAGGTCAAGTGAACTAGACAGACGAGGCCTGTGCCTTCTGGAAGTGACCGCCTCCAGTCTCGATGAGGGCTCTCATGAGATCTGGAGATATAGGGCACTTTAGACTGACTGAGAAGTCAGCCTCGTGAGCAGTGTATTTACACCGAGAGTAGAATGAATAGAAGGACCCGGCCATGGGAAGTAGATTGCAGGCAGAGGGAGTACAAAGACACTAAGGACAAGTGTGTGGACAAAAACATGTGGCCCAAAGGGGCACGCCTGCTGCACGAGGAGGTAACCCAGTGAATTGGTAATCCTCTTCAAGGTCAGTGGCTTCCAGACAACTTGTGAGTGTGTCTGTAGGGTGCCCTTGAATTTCTTCTATCTCCTGTATCAATCAATGCCCCAAATTTTAGCCATTGTTTTTAAGACTTAATGATTTTACTAGTGTTTCAGAAGCATTAGAAACAGCTCATTGACAGTCCTCAGTCTCTTCATAACACAAAGTGAAATATTTGTGTTAGAAGAATTACTTTCTTCTCATTGGAAAATTGTTGCTCAGTGAGCAGTGCATACAGTAAAAGCTGGGGGAAATTTTACTCATTTTGAAACTTATTTTTTTCTTTAACCTTTTTTTTCTTGCTGGAAAGCACTAAATTGCTTAGAAGTCATTCTCAGCCTTTACATTTAGGACAGATACATATTTCTGATTTTATTTTTCTCTGCGTTAAGAGGTATTTCTGTATTCCTTTTTAAGATTTCTTCCTTGCAGGACATTTTTGCAACCCTAGCCTTTTCAAAGCCATGAGCACAAGTTTTATTTGTACCAACACAAAGTTAAAAATAGTAAAATACTTCCTTAAAGGCCCATTATAAAAAACATCAGGCACCCTCCATCACCCAAGTAACGTTTTTGATTCTTAAGGATCCTTTTGATATTTACTTCCATATTTCTAAATAACATGCCACTATTGTGACTTGTTAATTTTTCAGTTTTAGGCATTTTCTGTTAGTTTCCCGCTTCAGGAAGTTCACTCTTTCCCAGTCTGACCATCACACACCTTTCCTGTTCCCTCATCTCACTGTGGAGCCGTCTTGGAATTGTAGGTCAGCATTTATTATTTTGACTATACAAAAGGTATCCACAACTAAGTCATGTCGTATAACTACTTTTCCTTTCCTTCCCAACTCTGTTTTCTCTGGATTTGTTTCATTCACTTAGTTTTCTATATACTTAGTACTAAATTAGCTTCAGACTCTTGGATGTTTAACGGTCATTATGATGGACACGTCCGGTAATCTTGGTTCACGGTGGTTAGCCTGAAACCCTCACCCTCCTCATCCTTGGGCTGCATTTCCTTCTTTCCTGGGTTAGATCTCTGTGTCCTGCACCCCAGGTTGTCTTCCTTGGTCACACCCTCATTGTAGTAAGGCACATCCTTCAAGCTTCCTGAGAAAAGGATGTGTGGGAGGGAAATTTTTGAAACGTTGCGTGTCTTAAAGTTTAATTACCATGCTCGCTTTTATTTTTTGGGTTTTTTTTTGTATTTTCCATCTCATAACACTGGTAGTCTTGGATAACAGGTTTCATCATTGATGAAGGCCAATTGTAGATTTAAATACTTAACTACTAAATTGTTACATATAGATAAAACACTTAACACTTCAGCCCAAAAGGTAATCTACGTTAGTTTTTTTCCTAATTGAAAACTAAAATGACTTATTTATACCAGTAGTCAATCGTCTTTCTAAATTTGGTATTGCCCCCTTTATTTTTCAGAAGATCCTCAAGGGTACTTCTGAATTTGAGGCTTGGGGAAAGGATTGGGTAATGGGTGCAGAGAGTTTTAGGAGCTGGCAGGATGACATGCTGGTGAGAACTTGCAACCAGTCTAGGTCGTTTGAACTTGTGGGGAGTGGCGTTCCCAGTGCTGTCCGCAGTGTTCAGATGGTACTGGAAATGCTTTCTAGCTGCAGTGTGCCCTGTAGTGTCCTCAGGTGGCTGCTGAGCCTGGGAATGTGGCCGGTGAGACTGAGGGATGGAATTCTTTTGCCAGCTCTCTTTCTGTTACTGATTTCTAGTTTAATTCCATTATAATCTGAAAGCAGACATTGTGTGATTGCTAGTCTTTTAAATTTGTTAAGATGTGTTTAATGACCCAGAATGTGGTGTTTTGGTGAATGTCACATGTGAGTTTTAGAAGAATGCGTATTTAATCTGCTGTTGTTGGATTAAGTAGCCTCTAGATGTCATTTATATCAGGCTGATTGAGGGTGCTTTTGTATTCAGCTATCTATGTCTTGACTAACTTTCTGCCTGCTGGACCAGTCCATTTCTGATAGAATATTAGTCTCCAGCTAAAACACTGGGTTGATCTATTTCTTTTTGCAGGTCCATCAGTTTTTCCTCACTTATTTTGATTCCCTATTGTTAGGCACATGTATATGAAGGCTTATTATGTCTTCTTGGAACATTGACCCATTTATCATTATGTGATTCCCTTTTTCATCCCTAATAACTTTTCTTGCCCTGTGGTCTGCTCTGTCAGAAATTAATATAGCTACTGCCCCGTCTTTTTTTTTTTTTAAGATTTTTATTGGGGAATTGGGGGAAGGGAAACAGACAAGTTGCTGCTGTTTTTTTCGTCAGTCTAGTTGTGGAGGACGTTGCTTCACTGGCCCATGTTGGTATTATCATTGCGCTCTTCCTGGCTGAGGCAGTCGCTCGCCGGGCCCTGGACAGCTGCTCACGGCGGCTCTTGGCAACTCATGCTGGCTGCCGGCTGCTCACGCTGGCTGCCAGCCACACACAGTAGCTTATGGCAGCCCACTGCAGCTCTACTGCAGCCTGCACCATCGCTGGCGACTCATGGCAGCCCAGCTCCAGGTCGAGCTAGCTGTTGTTCACCATCTTAGCTGTAGAGGGCACAGCGTCACTGGCCCTCCTGTGGGAGCTGAACCGGGGCCCTGCTGCTCAGAGCTGGTGTCCCAAGCCAACTCTTAACCAACGCGCCACTTTGCTGTCCCAAATTTTTCTTTATTTTTGATATGTCATATTCCTGACTTTGACTATGCCTAAGTCTGGTTTTTTGGCATTTATTCTGCTTGGTGTTCTCTGCTTAGTGATCTGTGATTTGGTATCTGACATTAATTTGGGGAAACTCAGTCATTATTGCTTCAAATAGTGCTTCTGTTCCTTCCTCTCTTCTGCTGTTCCCATTACATGCACGTTGCACCTTTTGCAGTTGTCCCACAGTTCTTGGATAATCTGTTGTTTTTCACCTAGGTTTTTTTTTTCTTTCTGCTTTTCAGCTTTAGTAGTTCCAATTGCTGTAGCCTCAAGCTCAGATTCTTTCCTCAGCCATGCCCGGTCTACTAATGAATCCATCAGAGGCATTCTTATTCTTCATTTCTGTTCCAGTGGTTTTGATCTCTAGCATTTTCTTTTGGTTCTTTCTTAGAATTTACATCTCTCTGCTTACATTAGTCACCTATTCTTGCATGGTCTACTTTTTCCATTTAAACTCTTAGCATGTTACAGTTTTTAAAATTCCTGATCTGGTCATTCCAACATCACTGCCACATCTGATTCTGGCTCTGTTGCTTGTTCAGTCTTTTCAGACTGTGATTTTTGCCTTTGAGTATGCCTTATACTTTTTGTTGAAAGGTAGACGTGTTATACTGGTTAAAAGGAACAGCAGTAAATAGGCCCTTAGTAATGTGGTGAGTGGTGGGGAAGGGGAATGTGTTCTGTTGTCCTGGGATAAGGTCTCAATCATTCAGTGAACCTGTGCCTCTGCGCTGGGAGCTTGACACACGTTTGCCAGTTCCCCACCTCCTTAGGTGGGACAGGAGGGCTAGGATGGGCCCGAGTTGGTGATTTCTCTTCCCCCAAGTATATCAGGCTCTGATAAAATCCCAGCAGGTGAGGCTGTGGTATTTCTCCATAGAGCAAGTCTTATTAAGAAGATCTGAATGCTCTGGTGTATTTCAAAATGGTTCTTTTGCCCCTTCCCCTGCTGGAAACAAAGGGATTTTTTTCTCCTTACATTCACCGAGGTCCTGGTAGAGCTCCTAGAGGTAAAACTCACCAACTTGCGGGGCCTCCTGATGACTGGGTCCCCCTAGAGCTTGTAACATGTGTAGCTGCCCATGCTGAGCGTCGAGCAGTTTGTCAGTTACCGTTCAGGTTTTCCTGTCCTGACCCAGGTTCTGCTTACCGCTTCTGCTCAGGTAGGTTGGGATTGTCTGTACCCACCTGGCTCTCCAGGTTGGGGGCAGCACTTTGCCCTGTGACCTCACTTCTCCGGTTGAATCTAAGAAAAGTTGTTGATTTTGCAGCTTGTTCAGCTTTTGTTGTTGGGATGGATTGGCGACTTCCCAGTCCCTTACAAGCTGAACTGAAAACTGGAAGTCCCAAATTATTATTATTATTTTTTTAAAGATTTTTATTGGTGAATTGCGGGGATCGGAACAGTGCTGGGGCATTGGGGGAAGGGGAACAGAGAAGTCGCTGTCGTTTTGTTCTTCAGTCTAGTTGTGGAGGACGTTGCTTCACTGGCCCAAGTTGGCACCATCATTGCGCTCTTCCCGGACGAGGCAGATCAGTCACCGGCTTCTGGACGGCCGCTCACTGTGGTTGCTGGCCGCTCACGCTGGCTGCTGGCCACACACGGTAGCCCATGGCAACCCACTGCAGCAGGGGCTGCAGCCTACGCCAAC